TGATGTGATTTAAATTACTTTTAGGTTACTACCTTTCACACTGGTTTTGCCATCCAGCTGGTCCAATACTGATGGTTAATGATGACCACAGCACTGTTTTTAATATACTTTTCTTTCAGGATTTAGTTCAGATGATCACCTAATCAGTAATGATGTAGATTGAGATGTGCTCATGCTGAAATTCAAGACATACATATATTACATTAATATAAATCCTGACAATGATTAACATGTATCCAAGGAGGTTACAAAAAATAAAAACATATTTTAAATAAGAGTTTTCTGTCTTAAATGCTGCTAAAAGTCATCAGCTTTAGTTCTTTAATTTCAGACTTGCTTTTTAAAAGACTCACAAACACAAATCTTAACAATGAGTTTCATTATGCCAATCTTTATCTTTTTGTAAATCTTCAAGTGGGTTTTGTGGCTCACAACTGTTTTCTTTTTAAATGTGAAATGGGCCAGAATGGCTCCTTTGTTTGGAAAATTTACAGACCCTTGATCCAAGTAGATGTTTGCACAGGAACCACTAGATGGTAACAGCTCACCATCTAAACCTCAAGTTAAATTTCTCAAGCTGTACCATGCAGTGTTATCAGTGTTAGAAGGGAATTTATACAAGCACAACTGTCATATTATTATGTTTTCCTTTTGACACTTGTCTTTGTGGTTTACAGTAAGAATATTCATGTTACCTTTGCATAGAAATGCACTTTATTTTTACTTAATTTTATTTTTTACATTATATTTCTTCTGTTTTTATATGCCTAACATATTTTACTTTGTTTAATTTAGCACTTCTAAGTTTACATTACTTTATTGTTAAGCTGTTTATTACGTGTGCTAATATGCATCGTAATTTCGTACAGTGCATCGCTGATGTTATGTTTGAATGACAATAAACAAAATCTGAATCTGAGAAAGACAACATATTTCTACAGCTATTATTAATATGCATTTGTATTGCGATCAAAGTATATTTTTAATAAATTTCAGGATGATTTGAAAATAATGGAGCTTATTATTTTGAACAACAATCAAAGAGGCTCCATACTGGTAATAAGCTCTAACTGTGAGGTTGAATCGATGAATAAACTGGGTTGCTCAGAACTTTACAACTGCACCATTGCTATGGGGCTACCTTTTGGAATGCTCATTACCCAAGTCATTCACTTTTTTACCACTGATGGATGTAGAGCTCTTGTATTTTTCCTTCTTTTATCATACGCACCATAAAACCTCAGTACACACGTATAAAAAAAGATTTTCTGGTTGCGAAAATCTGTCTGAATTCCATTTCTCTAAACTGCTACGTTACTCTTCACACAAACCAACTAGCTGCTACATAACCGACGCGTTACAGTGGAAATATTTGTTGTATTGGTAAACAAGCTCATGAACCATGATTACTGACCACTGTCAAAAGGAGAATACAAAGAATGTTTTTAACGGTGGGACTAAAGCTGAAGGCTAGACCAGTGGTTCCCAAACTTTTTATCTTCTGACCCACAAAATATCCATGGCAAAAACTTGTGACCCCAAATATTACTGGTCTGAGTACATGAACTTCGTTAATAACCCTGAAAACACAGGCTTTTTGACAATCTAACCAGCTTATACACAAATATAAATACTTATTTTTACTTATTTTGTGTTTTTGTAATAATTATAGGGAAAATATTACATCAGCAATTATTTTATTACCCTTTAAATATATTTCTGGAGATTATCCAAGGTGCTTTATGACCCATAATTGGGTCCCAAGCCCAACTTTGGGAACCAAAATGCAGTGGTTCCCAAACTTTTCAGATTTTGGCCCACAAAATAACAGTAGCAGAGACCTGTGCCCCCAGATATTTTTGGATGATAAACATTTGTATCAGGTCAACAAAACATGTAGTAAAAATAGTTTTATACTACATTTATCCATTTTAAATATCCTAAACTCACTTCTTTGTAACAACTAAGGTAAAAATGTAATTAATTCAGAAAATCTTTTCAGGACCCCACCTTGATGTTTTGGGACCCCACTTTGGGTCCCGACCCCATTGGGAAACATTGGGCTAGACCAGTGTTTCCCAAAGTTGGGGTCGGGACCCAAAGTGGGGTCCTGAAACATCTAGGTGGGGTCCTGAAAAGATTTTCTGAATTAATTACATTTTTGCCTTAGTTGTTACAAAGCAGTGAGGTTAGTGTATTTAAAATGGGTAAACGTAGTATAAAAATATTGTTACTATGCCCATGTTTAGTTGACCTGATACAAACGTTTATCATCCAAAAACAGTTGGGGTCACAGGTCTCTGCTACTGTTATTTTGTGGGTCAAAAGCTGAAAAATTTGGGAACCACTGGGCTAGACCATCCAAATTCACAACCATGTTCTTCATGGTCTTCAGGAACAACAAGGACCTGACCCACCAAGGCTGGGTCCTTTGAAGGGCGCAGCCCCTGAATTTGGACACAACCTACATACGTTTATTTTACAAATTGTACTTAAACTTTGTATGGTAGTAGCTGAGGCTGATCTTCAAAACTTATTAAGTTACAAAAACGAATGCAAGATCATTGCTGGAGAACTCTATCTGTCAGCAAAATATTTCATGAACCACTGGATAGAGTTTATTGAAAGTTTCTGAAAATATTCACTAGATGTATGTCTACCCAACATAGCAGACAGGTGTGATACTTCTCAAGCTGGTACTGCTGACTGACTGCTGGCATGGCAAGTGCTTTGTCAACTGGATGTGGGCCAGGTTTGACAATGAAGGAACTGTTTTTAAGATTGAATGCCACAAATGGCCCAGTTTTGGTTTGATTTATGGACTACTGCTGGTAAACTATGGCTCTCCCACCCTCGTTCCGCCCTTGTGCACTTCAAATGCGCATTCATGTTGAAGGGTTTGAGTGCGTAGCTGCCTTCACCCCTTCCCAGTTTGGGTACTATTTCTGCCCTTACATGACGTCCTCATTTTTACAGACTTCGGCAAAGTTTATTACCCACAATTCATCGTTGTGTGTGACATTTTGAATTAAAAGGCAGAAATTGGGCAATGTCCACTGAGCACCTTCCAGTTTAGTGGTGGCAGTGATGCACTTAAATTAGTGTTCCAACAACCAAGAAAACCCAAAGAAGAACAACTTATAGAAGTTAGTTCTCATACTCTGATGTGTAAGCCTCCTTCGCTTCATGTGCTTTCATGCTGGTTGGAGTGTTGGTGCAAAGTGTGGACCAGACAAATGTTATGTGGGAAGTTTGTAGGAGCCAACACAATTTGTTGGCTCACTAAGCTTTAGTTCACTCAGTTTCTCATACAGGCACAAAACTTTGATCTGGAAGTCCTTCCAAAGACATAATAATAA